TGGCGTCGTCTTTGCCGTGGAGCCGCTCCCTCGGTGCTCGGCGCGCGCGTCCAGCGGCCGTCGGCCCATCCTGCTACCACGCCTGGGCTGCGGATCGACGGCGCAGCAGGGACGATTCCGCCAGCCGTGCGTGTGGGTCTAAGCCATACGGCGGGGGCGTTCGTTTAAGAAAGTGCCATGGAGGCTTCAGACCCCAGTTCCTTACCTGATGAGGTTGGCGGTGCTATCCATGACCAATCCACGGCTGGAGATCCACAGGCTTCCAGACGCTGGATCCCTTATTTGATGGTTCCTTGTCCGATGCTCTCGCCGTGCTCTTGGAGCTCCCCCTGTTGGGGGGTCCCCTCGGAGCGTGGCTGGAGATGCCGCAGGCTCCTGGGACGAGGGCCTCTCTGTGGCAGGCCTCCCGGGCGCGTCTCGAGCGGCATCCTGGGGGCATCCTGGGAGTCCTGGGGCAACCCGGGGGGCGGAGGGGGGCGGGGGGGCAGGAGGGGGCGGGCTCTCAAACAGGGTCTCGGGGCCCGTCGGCGGGGGCTTCTCGACCCCCGACTCCTCCCGCTCCCCCACCCAGCTCCCGCCCCTCCCCCTTGGCCCTCCCGCTCGTGATCTCCATCTCGATCTCCCTCTCCCCCGAGAGTTTTCCTGCCCCTGCCCCCCTCCAGGGCGAACGGCGGTGGCCGTCTTTATCTTGTAGTGTCCTCACTTTCTGGGCTGCCTTTCAGCCACTGAGGGCCCTCTTCGCTCTCCTCGGCCCCCCCCCCTCCCCAGACATCCCCAACGTCGTGAAAAGCACGTGAAGGGGCGAAAAACACGACCAGGGGCTCCCGACCCCATCGTCGTGCAGGACTTCTCGGGCGGCGCCGACCCGTGGGGGTCCCCGGGCCCGAGGCGGGGAACGGCTGCCTGTCTCGTGCTCGTGCCCGCATGGCAGGAGTCACGGCGGGTCCCCAGGTTGGGTGGCAGATCATGGGCCAGGGGGAAGCGAGCGCGCGAATCTGCGACTCAGAGGGTGCTCGCGGGTACTGCCTCGAGGCGTTCGTGACCGAGTAGTTGGGCCTCGTTGGGGCCGTGTTGGGGCCTCCTTGCGCCTGTCTCAGGATGCTCGACGGCGCCTAAGAGGTACGACTGTGTTCAGGATCGGCCGTGGCCGAAATTTTGATCCTGAGCGCCTTGACTCCTCGCGCCAATGTTCTATGACCGCGCGCCGCGTCCGTCGGCAGTCACGTCGAGCTCTCACGGGGAAGAAACGGGCGCGCAAATTTGCGGCTCAGCTGGTGTTCAGAGGTATGTCTATGGCCTCGATGCCCTCGTGGGTGAACACTTGAGCCTGTCTCGGGGCTCTCTTGGGCCTTCTTGGGGCCACTTGGGCATCCTTTAGGGGCGTCCTGGTGCCGTTTTGGAGGGTCATGGGTCAGTGGTCTGTCTGAGGATGTCTTGGGCCCGTCTTGGGCCAGGCAGTCTTGGGCCGTCATGGAGTCATCCTGGTTTCGCTTTGGAGGCCAGCTGGAGGGTCGGCCTACCTTGAGGCCACATGTGTGATCTCTCTGGCCGCCCAGGGGTCTCTCTTTGGCCTCTCGGGCACTCTCGGTGGCCCCTGGAGCCCAGCAAGCTCAGAGCGCAAGAGATGCACAACCAGGCGGGGCCTGGACGAAATCTCACACAGCAGCGACCGCTGCACGGTCTGTGAACGTTCTTTAATTCACTGTTTTGCCGATCGGCGCGCGGCCCGCGCACCTCCCCTCCCCCCCAGTAGGTCTGAAACCTCCAGATTGCTTGCCTATGGGTGACATAACCTTGATACTTGCTTGCACTGGTTTTTGGCGCCTGTCTCACGCCGATGGGGTCTCCCCCATAGGGAGCACTGCTGCAAGCCGACGCATTAAGTAGAGGTGCGGAGCCCCCCCTTCCCCCCCCTTCCGCCCAATTTCGGAACGTCGAAAAAGACAACGTTCACATGATTACACGTCGGTCGTTGAAAGTAGGTATTTCTGGCGTACCAGATCCCAGTCTACTTCAAGCGCCTTCCTACTTCAAGAGCCGTTTTTTTTTTTTTTTTTTTTTTTTTTTTTTTTTTTTTTTTTTTTTTTTTTTTTTTTTTTTTCTGTGGGTTGTTTCTCTCTGGGAGGTCCTGAGCCCAATCTACTTCCTGTTTTTGCCTACTTCTTCCGACCCGCGCGTGTAGAAGGTGCATCGCTGGAGGGACGTGGCGGTTCGGCTGGCCGGGAGGTGGCGCAGCCCCCGCGGCGCGAGCCGTGGCGCATATAGCCCACGGGAGCGAGAGAGAGAGAGAGAGAGAGCCAGTTCGTACCTCTCACCTGGGCAGTGCGCAGGACGTCGGCCGCGACCAGTCGGCGGCGAGCCCGGGGGGGAAGTGGGAAGGAGAAGGCCATCTCTTGGAGAAGAACAACAACGGCATAAACGTGAACTTGTGGCGCTCCGCGCGGATTTCTCGGATCCGCGCTGGGCCCCCCTTGGCTGCGCCTCCGGCGCCGCCCCTAGCGCGCTCCGCGCGCCAGGAAGGGGTGTCCAGCGTAGATCCAAGAAATCGGCGCGGAGCGCCCAAAGTGTATGTTTATGGCGTTTTGTCTTTTTCTATTATCAGAATGCTCGGAAGTCCCCAGGCCTTCTGAGCAGCTTTTTCAGTCTTCCCCGAAGACACGGAAAGCTTCTCAGAAGGCGCGAGGGCTTCTGAGAAGTCCCGCCGCCTTTGAGAATGCCTTCTCCTTCTCATTTCCCCTCCTCGCTCGCCGCCGAACCAATGCGCAACCCGTGGAAGGCAGGCAGAGCGGGGAATTCTTTACGCTTCGCGTATCCCCACCAGCCCATCTCACAGCAGCAACTCTCGCGAAGCATGCCGACAGTCGTGTTTTTTCAGGCGTGTGTCCGCTTGGCCCCGCATATCTCCCCTGTTCCTCCTTCCTCCCGCCTCCTTGTACATCCTCCTTGTGAGGGGAGCGGGAGAAGGACGAGGCGGAGGAGGAGGGAGAGAAAGCGCTCCTCGTGATTTGAGTCGTTTGGGGTTTCTCGTCCTGGTGTGAGTCGTTCGGGCCCTTCTTCCTGGTGTGAGTCGTTCGGGCTCTTCGTGGTGTGAGTCGTTCGGGCTCTTCGTCCTGGTGTGAGTCGTTCGGGCTTCTCGTGGTGTGAGTTGTTCGGGCCCCTCATCCTGGTGTGAGTCGTTCGGGCCCCTCCTCCTGGTGTGAGTCGTTCGGGCTCCTCGTGGTGTGAGTCGTTCGGGGCCCTCGTCCTGGTGTGAGTCGTTCGGGCCCCTCCGTGGTGTGAGTCGTTCGGGCTCTTCGTGGTGTGAGTCGTTCGGGCCCCTCGTCCTGGTGTGAGTCGTTCGGGCTCCTCGTGGGGCCTCTTGGGGGCCTCTTGGAGCCTCGTGGGGCCTCTTGGGGGCCTCTTGGGGGCCTCTTGGGGGCCTCTTGGGGGCCTCTTGGGGCCTCGTGGGGCCTCTTGGGGGCCTCTTGGGGGCCTGTTGGGGGCTTCTTGGGGCCTCGTGGGGCCTCTTGGGGGCCTCTTGAGGGCCTCTTGGGGGCCTCTTGGGGCCGCTTGGGGGCTTCTGGGGGGTCTCTTGGAGGCCTCTTGGGAGCCTCCTGGGGGCCTCTTGGGGCCATCTTGGGGCCTCTTGCGACCTCCTCAGAAGCGCAAATGAGAGCTGCCCCCCTGAGAAGGACAACATGAGCCCAAAACCTTCGTAAAATTAATGATTTTGCTATGAGGGGAGATGAGCGCGGCCCCCTCAGAAGGCCAAAATGGGGCCAACACCCTCGTAAAATCAATGTTTTTTGCTTCAAAGACGGTCTGAGGCGCCAAACGGTCCCCCCCCCTCTGGGGGCCAGAATCCTCGTGAGGGTCGTCGTTTTTTGGCCCTCCCAGGAGTCGAAAAAGACCCCCTTGATTGCACTCGGCCCGCCCTCTCCAGGCCCAGGGGTAGGGGGTAGGGGGAGGGGTAAACCCCTTCCCGAAGGGGAAGAAGAGGGGTAGGGGGTTGAGAACAGAGAGAGCTCTCTAAACCACTCACGCCCAAAGGGCTGGTGGGACTTGCGGACCTCAGGTGCGCAGGGTGTGTGGCGCAGCCCGTGGGGCAGCTTCCGGAAGATCGACAGGGTGGGCGATATGCCATGTAGTGCGCGGCGTTCTTATGGATGGTGTGCAGAAGTGGGGCACCTGCGATTTGGTACAGCGCAGGGCCCAGCCCCACCTACGGCGCAAGCTATGGAGCGTATCGAGTGGGGGAACATCTCGATTTGGCAGTGCGTAGGGCGTCTGACGCAATGTATGGCGCGTTTTGGGCATTGCGTGGGTACCTGTCGCAACCTATGGTGCAGCGTCTGCTTCAGTGTATGGCGGACCGTTTTGCGCATTCCGCCGTCCCATGTTGTATAACTCTTGCGCATTGTTTGTCGCTCGGGAGCATCGGGGAGTTGCTGCGTTCGGGTTAAGGTTTCCAGAACAAAAACTACTTGTGTTGGCTGCGCGGGGTAGGAACAATTCCAAGCTATGCTGAGGGCACAGTTCAGCGGATCATGTCCCCACCTGGAGTTTCCTCGCATCTCCTGGCGACTGCCATGCCATCTCTGGCGCAACCAACCGACGCAGCCGATGGCCACGCGCAATCCTCGCACCCTCAGGCGCAACCCGCGGGCGCAGCCGATGGCGCAAGCCATGGGCGCAGCCTTGACCACGCGACATCCTGTGGCAACGATTCTTCGGCGCGAGCCCCCAGCGTGGGTTCCCTATTGACTGAGCAATGGCACCTTGGTGCAAGCATTAAGTCGGGCCTGTCCCTCTGCAGGCGGAGTGTTCAAGAATGGGGAAAACGCTGTCGATTATGTTGTTAGACCATTTTGATTGTTTTTATTGTTGACATGTTTTAAAATTCTTCTTCCCAAATCCGCCTGTAGGAGGACATGCCCGACCAAATGCAAACACTTGTTGGGGGAACACGCGCAGCACCGCAGCCCAAACCGCGATCATATCTCGGGCGCAGCCCCGCAGAAGTCCTGGGGGTAAACTGCCTCACCAGGTCCGCCCCCTTCGCTCCCTCTTCTTCCTCGTGTCTCTACTTCGTCCTCCCTCCCCCGTTCTCCCTCCCCTGAGCGCCATGGGGTCGCGCGATGGGCTGCGCCAGATGTTGCGCTGTGGGCTGCGCCAGGTTGGCACTGCGGCTCAGCCTCTCTTGTGCCCAACAACGCAACTTACTCAAACACTCATACATACACTGTACCATCGACATGTGTTCTCTCTCTTCATGTTTGGCCTCAGTGATTCTCGGGGGCCAGCTGTCTCGTGTTGCACAGGCTGTGCAGCTTGGCGGCTCGGACATGCTGGCGTTGCCCCCAGCCGTGAAGAATGATGCCAGTTCGTGGTTACTCGAAATCCGCACACATGGTGACGTGACGTGCAGCATGGAGGATGACTGTATTGTCGGATCTGGTTTGGGCCACTGCAAAGTGCTGGTGGACCCAGCTATGAAGATTCCGCTGGGCAGCACCGACTCGGGCAATGCTTCCTTCCACGAGTTCAACAGCACCGTGCAGTTCCATCAGTCGGAAATCACCATCACGGGGCATTCATCTTCGTCGCACTGGAACCTGTGTCGGGCGAAAGACGATCGCGAGAGCATCGTTCAGCACGAGCCGACAAAAAACTTGGCGGATGTCTGTTACGAGGTCGAAGGTCTCCAAGGACTTTGTTTTTTGTGGGCTTCTCCATGCTCTGGCGGGTGCTCCACACTCCGTCCTTTCAACGAGTATTCGTCGATCTGCCCGAATTGGCTACGCTACGCTACGCCATCGGAGTGGTCGATTGCTTTGCCTGATTTGAATGCCCACAGGAAAGAGCTCTACGCCAAATGCGCAGTTGACGTGATGGATCCATGGTGGCATCACTGCGACTATGCGAACGACTTCGTGCGTATCCCAGATGACGGCTGGAACGAGCTGATCCTGGTATGCGACACTACGATTCCCGCGATGCCTACGATGGCCACCTCCGCGACGTCGGCGACTGGCCCCGCTCCGACGCCTATGCCTCTGCCCCCGCCTCCCGGTCCGGGGCTTGTCCCGTGTGGTCTGACCGGTGGTTACAGCGAATGGCCAGAGGATGCAACATGTGCCAGTTGGATTCAGGGATCGGCCGTAGGAGGAGGCCCCAATGTATATGTTGGCACTGTTGACACTTGCCACCATTGCATCCTGGCGGTCTTGACTGCTTACCCATCCGCCAAGGGGGCTACCTTTCGAACTCCTGGTTTAACTTCGCAGGCTGGCGAGTGCTATGCCGAGGACGGGTGGTTCTACCCGGACGGGGACAACGCATGGATTACCATTCCTGTCATCGCATCCTTGCAGTATTATTCTGATCTTGCCTCGGACCCATGCAGCCCTGCCTTCGGAATAACTCTGAAGCCGACGACCGCTCCGACTCCGGTTCCCGCGGCCCCTACGCTTGGGGGGGCCAGTTCTGCAGGGGGCGCCAGTTCTGCAGTTGGGGATCCGCATCTGCAAAACATCTACGGTGAGCGGTTCGACTTGCTGAAGGCTGGCAAACATGTTTTGATCAATATTCCACGGGACGCGGTTGTTGCTGAGACCGCGCTGCTTCGAGTAGACGCAGAGGCACGTCAAATGGGTGGGAAATGCGCAGACATGTATTTCCAGGAACTGAATATCACAGGGGCGTGGGTGGATTCGACGAAGCAGACCAGTGGTCTCCGTTTCAAAGCGCACGATGTGGTCGACGCAAACATGAATTGGGAACAGTTCGGAAAGGTATCATTGAAAGTTGTCCATGGACGCACCCATTCAGGCATCCAGTACTTGAACCTGTACGTCAAGCACCTCGACCGCACTGGGCTTGCCGTCGGTGGGCTGCTCGGAGAAGATGATCACTCAGAGGCGGCAATCTCTCCCAAGGAATGCTCTCAGACCCTTTCCCTTATCCAAGGCCAGTTCTGAGTGATTCAGTGTATCCGTCTTCCTGGTTGAGGCAAGCTTCGCCTCGACACGGGTGCATCGTGGGCTGTTGCAGAGGCAGGCGCCTCCTCCTCCCTCTCCCCTCCTGCCCCTCCTTCTCTCTTGCTCTCGCTCCTGCACTCCTCCCTCCCCTCGCGGCCGCACGTCCGTGCTCCTCGGGCGTGCCGCACCTCGCCAGCACGACTTCTCGCTGCCGCCCCGTGCGCCGCTCTGCTTCGGGGCGCGTCGTGGCGCAGCCTGGTCGCACCTGGCCACGGCACAGTGACTGTTGATGCGGGGGGCGATCGGCAAAAAGGGATGAGGAGGACGAGGAGGGCGAGGGAGACGGGGAGCACGAGGGGCACGAGGAGGACGAGGAGGGCGAGGAGGGCGAGGAGGGCGAGGAGGAGGAGGAGGAGGACGAGGAGGACGAGGAGCACGAGGATGACGAGGAGCGCGAGGAGGGAGGTGCGTCGAGCCCGCCCGCCCTCTGGCGGCCCTGGGAGTTCGGGCCGCCCCCCGCGTCGCCGCGCCCGTGAGCTCGTGTCGTGGGTGCGGCGTCTGTGTGCGCCGTGCGTCGCAGGGGCGGACCTGAACGGTGTTTTGGCGATTTCGTGGGCCGTTTTCGTTTCGATTTCGTTTTGCGTTAAAGGCGGATTGAAGACAAAAACGAGTGACAACGAAAACAAAACGAACGAAACACACCGTTTAGGTCCAGCCCTGGTGCGTCGTCACTGCTCAAAAGGCTGCACCCTTCCGACTCGAGTGGAGGCGGCAGACTCTGCAGGCCAGTGGCCCGGGAATCTCGAGGCTTGATCTCCACAGTGAGGGTGTGTGGCAAGTGCGCGGAGCTCCTGTGAGAGAAAACTCCCTGCTGCTCTTGCCGATCGCACTTCCAAGGGCCAATGCGGCGTTCGGGCTGTTGCGCGCAATGTGATGTTCGTCGAGTCTTGGCTTCTTCTTGCCAAGAACCTGCTCCCACGTTTCTCTGCGCATACCGAACACGCCGCTGTCGAATCATCGCCGCCCCAAGTCCGAGTCGCAAACGCAAACCACTTGCGACCGGTTTTCGATTTACAGCTTGCTCGGCCGTGGTTGAATCCTGATTCCCCGAGGCGTTGTTGGGGCGGCAGGGGGAGCACATGGTGTCCAGAGTGAAGGGCCGTCGCTGTCTTGAAGCCCTTTTTTGGGCCCTCTCGAGCGTTCTTGGGTACCTCTTGGGCGCTCCTGGGCCGTCTTCGGGCCCTCGTGTGGCCGCCCTGAGGTGATGTGCAGTCAACCCGCATAGTAAGGATGGGTAGCCTTCCCAAGGGTACCCTTGCATCCTTGCCTCCTCGGCCCATCCTTGACCCATTTCGTTGGCCGCTCCCCGCTCGAACAGCTTCGAAATGGGCGTCCATCGGCGGCAAGCGAAGGGGGGAAATGAGAAGGAGAAGGGCTTCACAGAAGGCGGCAGGACTTCTCAGAAGCCCTCCAGCCTTCTGAGAAGCTGTCCGTGTCTTCGGGGAAGGCTTAGAGAGCTTCTCGGAAGGTCGGGAGACTTCCGAACCTACTGGGAAGGCCGGCCCCTTCTCACTTCCCCCTTGGGCTCGCCGCCGACGTCTAGGGCCAGGGCCCCTTTGGGTCCACCGTCGTGCAATCCTCGATCCCCTAACGTTTGTTGCCACCCTGTTGCCATCAACCCGATCTCTAGGCAACGGCATGTGAACCCTACCCCTGCGAGTCAGATTTAAGAGAAGCTGGCTCGCTCGCCGCGGAGCCCAAGGCCCTTGCATCCTTGCACGCTGGTCGTTGAAAGTAGGTATTTTTGGACTCCCAGATCCCAATCTACTTCAAGCGCCTTCCTACTTCAAGAATCGACATGATTTTGCTGTGTTTTGTCATTCTCTGGGAGGACCTGGACCCAATCCACTATATCCGCCTTCCCACTTCATGTTTCTACCTGCTTCTTCCGACCGGCGTGTATCGCGCATCCTCATGATATGGGCCGACTGTAGGGCCGTCAGGGGTCCCCCTCGGGGCCGTTCTGGGATGGGGGTCTCTCGAGGCCGCCCCGGAGCCCCGTGGGGGCCCTCTCGGGTCGCTTGTCTTGGTTTTCTGTCTTGGACCGCTGTCCGCCTCCCTGGGAGGAGGAGGAGGAGCAGGAGGAGGAGGAGGAGGAGGAGGAGGAGGAGGAGGAGGAGGAGGAGGAGGAGGAGGGCAGGAGGAGGCGGAGGCGGAGGAGGAGGAGGAGGAGGAGGAGGAGAGGAGGAAGAGGAGAAGGGAGGAGGAGGAGGAGGAGGAGGAGGGGGAGGGGGAGGGGGAGGGGGAGGGGGAGGAAAAGGAGGAGGAGGAGGAGGAGGAAGAGGAGGAGGAGGAGGTTCCGTAGCGATTTTGGCTCAAGGGACCGTCGCGGCTTCGCTCGTCGTCGGTCGCCCCATCGGTCGTGGCTCGCGCGCCGCGGAGCCATCAAAGAGAAAACAAAGAGGCGCCGCAGCCGCGGCGGTCCCCCCGACCGCCACGCCCAGGACAAAGGGAGAGGCTTGGCACCGCCGCGCCAGGACCCAAAGAGGACAAAACAGGCTGCTCATCAAGCTGGCGCCCGCCGCCAGCAGGCTGGAGCAGCACCACAGCGCCCAGCAGCCCCAGCGCCACCAGCAGCACGCGATGGCGCAGCAGGGGCTTTGGACAGGATGGCGGGACCAAAGGGGATCAGCGGCAAGGGCGACAGGAGCAGGGTCCTCAACCGCTGGCCCAGGTCCCGCCGTCGGCCAGACAGACAGTATGACGGCAGTGGGGCCGCTTGTCGGAACTCAGCCATGGCCATGGAGAAGACCATCACGAGGGAGGTTATCGGCTAGAACTCAACAGTGGCAGGACCAATACAACAGCCACAACCAGTACAACGCATACCAGAATAACTACAACCAGAAGAAGAAGACCAGGTCCGCCTAAAGCAGGACTACGTCTACACGAAGGAGCAGCAGGACATCGTCGACGAGTTCGTCCCGAGTACGGAGGTGAGGACGGTCAATCACGAGGCCTTCTCCTACCCCTCTCGCGAGTCGGAGCTCCGCCGCATGTGGAAGCATACCGAGGCGGCCCGACTCGGAAGGCTCGATGATCAGCTCGCTGGTGCACGACAGGCAGGAGTGGATGCATGGCGATTGATGGACAAACTGAAAATCACAAAATGCATGGTCGACCTGACCACCGAGCCGAACGAGAGGATCAATATATGCAGAGATGACCTCGACGTGGTCAACAAGAAGAGGGGGGCTACCGCAGGACAAGTCAAGTAAGGGAAAGACCAGCCGGAGAAGTCCGACGTGGATGCCGTCAAGAGCAAGGCTCTGATCGCGGAAGCAAAAGGTCAGCGAGGCATGCGCGAACGAATAGAAGCAGGAGTCGAAAGCTCAAGCTGCGACTGAGATGGGGCAGTTACATCGGATGAGAGCAGGGTCGACAGGAGGGCTCGTGGCAAGACGCCACATCTACGTCGGCAAGGTCGGAAAGCAGAACGATGGCAAGCGGGCGAAGGACGACGTGCAACAAGGTCGATCGAGGAGCTGAACAAGCGTCTGGACATGCAGCAGGACGAGTGCACCCAGCACCAGCGCCGCCTCCAATTCTCCCGCAGCGAGCGCAATGCCAACATCCGAAAGGACGATCGGCGTACTCAAAACGATATGAAGAGATCCAGGCCATGAAACATGAGTGCAGGGAACTGAAGATGGAGATGGCCGCAAATAATCTCGACATCACCAAGAAGAAGAAGAAGACAGTGGAAAACATACAACAATAACAGCAGCTGGCAGACATGGCCTGGCAGCTACAGAGTGAGCGCGCGGAGGAGCTGGAGAAACAACGAGGGCCATTCAGAGAGGAACGCGATCACCACGAGGAGAAGCTGCAGGCGGAGACGCTTATCCACCTTGGGGATATGCAGTCCAAGGTGACCAGGGGGCACGAACTGAAGGAGACGGAAATACAGGCAAGACGCGAAGAATAACGTCAACTTCAGCGAGCCTTTCATCAGAAGCACGAGCAGATGCAACTCGAACAACAACAACAAGTACTACGTCGACATATTGTCCTAGCAGATTGGCCGCATCCACCATGAGAAGATCAACGTGCAAGACGCTCAGACCGCAACGTGGGAGTCAATCCACAAGATGACAGAACATAACGCGTGCTGCAACATGAGAATGAGAGAGCACGACGCCAGGTGCAAGGGCGGCTAAGAAATGAGCAGGTTACGTGGCAGGTGATGGCGCAGCCATCGCAGCAATGCGCCAGCGACGAAGAGCACGCTGCGAAGAGAAACTGTGGCGTATACGAGGAACACTGCAGATATTACCATCGACGGATACAGCAATAAGCACTGCAACGCGAACGACGACAGCAACGTCAAGCACGCGAGCTCAGGATGAGGTTCCACGCAGGACTACACCAACAACAAGTCATCATGGCGGAGGAAAGTGCGCAACAAGATTGCCAACGCCGGTAACTCGAACAGGTGCAGAGGAAGGGGCTGAGCAAGAACGGGGAGATGGAAGCGGAGATCATCGGCGAAATGGAGCTCGAGATTGGCAGGGGCATAGAAGAAGAAACGCGCGGGCAATGCTTGGCACGCATCGATCAGCAGAGAATCGAGGAGGAGGTGGAGAGCGCGCTGCGTTCCATCATGCCAGGCGAGTTTACCCAGCACCGCTCCGACATCAGCCCGCGCAGAGAGGAATGGAAAAGCAGCGCCGGCAGCGAGAGCACGAACGCAGGGGCAACGAGCAGTGCGCCAGACAGTGATCTAATCATCCCTCGAACCGGCCTTGCATTGCGACTGCCAGCAGAACGGGCGCCACCACTTCCACGATTAGACGACCCAGCAACAGTCGAAGCACTTATCAGTCGCGACACTCCACGCATGAACGACAGTCAGAGGACGCCCATGCCAAAGCTCGACCGCGATGACGATCTTTGAGACCACATCATCGACGCCGAAGCGATGCTGACCCCGACGCCGACAGGAAGCCTGACGCCACCTGCCGAACAACCAACCCCAGGCTACAACCCAAATGCATGCATCTTCCACCAGTACGGGCACTTTCAGCACCGCCCGAGATCAACGAGGGCGACGTCCACTCGGATCGACGACCCACCACTGCCGTATTGATTCACATCAGCCGAGACGAAGAGCGTGAGACACCAACGACACCACGACGGATGACCATCGATAGTGTCGCGACAACAGTTCCCATCCAGCATGCTGAGCATCTACCCCGCTTCTGCCTTGGATCACCCGGCAGAGCTCAGTCAGCACCGCCTACAAGAGCCA